CCCGATTCAGCTGCTGCTGAAACTGACCAGCAGCGGCTGAATCAGGGACGCCTGGGGCAGAGCCGGACTATCGTAAGGGGGGGGCTATGAGGGGTCTGGGGTGGCATCCCCTCCCACCCTACTCCAGACCCCTCATAGCCCCCCCTTCCGATAGTCAGGCATATCTGATAATCCAGCACCCCCTGGGTCCTAAAGGTGCCGTATTATTGGAAGTTTACTGTACATCTTTTATCTTTCTGCTGGTGGGGACTGCATGTATTCTCATAAATGACAGTGAAACATATCCCGAAATGGAAGGTGCTATGGTATAGAGGTGCACTCATACGTTTCCTAAAATACTATTTTTGTTGTTTTCTGTTATTTAAATGCAAATATTTTTTTCTTGAAATGTCATCACTATGTGAATGTTATAAAGACATTGACTTCCTGCTGTATGTTAATTTTTTAAGGAGCCTATATGAGCAGAGGCTTTTTCTAGAAAATGCTAGAGAATATAGCGTTTGTGGGTTCTTTTGGTTGATTGGTTTTAGTTCATAATTGTATTGATTTAAAGCTTTTTTTTAACCAGAGGTTTACATACAGGTACAGAGATGGTTGCATTGGAAATACTTAAATAGCTTTTTATTTTAAGTGTTTTCTTTTGTATTTCTCATAGGAAACCGAGATGAAGGTACACATACACACAAAATTTTGCCTCATTTGTTTGCTGACATTTGTCTTTCATCAGTGCAACCATTGCCATGACCATGGTCCTGAAGAGAGCCATGGACACAACCATAATGACTATCAGATCTCAGAGGCACCATATCTCCAGAATGAAGGAGCAGAATCTGCACCAAGTAAATTTTCAGTGCTGGAAGCTGAAAATGTACAAAAATACTACATTGAAAAACTTTTTGATCGTTATGGTCAAAATGGAAGATTGTCGTTTTTTGGTCTTGAAAAACTGCTAATAAACCTTGGTCTTGGAGAGTTAAAAGTAGTGGAGATTAATCATGAGGATATTGGTCATGATCACGTTTCCCACTTGGATGCCTTAGAGGTACAAGAAGGAAAACATTCTCATTCTCATAACCATTCTCATTCTCATAGCCACTCAGGTCCAGAAAACCAAACTGTGAATGGCATATCTTCAAAGAGAAACAATAAATGTGACCCGGAGAGAGAGACAATAGAGTCATCTGTGAAACCTGCCAGTAAACGTGTTCGTGACAACAATCATCACCACTACCATCAGCATCATCATTCTGACCATAATGGTACTCATCATTCTCATAATGATTCAGTCAGTCAGAATGAACATGGAGAGCCAAGCCATGAACCTTCAACAGAGACCAACACTACCCAAGAACAACCTGAGAGAAAATCACGGAAACCTAAGAAGAGACGAAAGGGAAAGAAAAGTGAGATATCAGTAGATACTGCCCTAGATTTTTCTCAAGACCATGATTCAGGTGATCAATATGAGCACAATCATGTTCATAAACATGATCATGTACATGATGCAGCCCACTCACATGTTCATATTCAACAACACGATAATGACCAAACCACTGGTCATGGACACCAAGATCCTAATCCTGGTAATGAGGATGGACATCGCCATACCAGTAAACGTGAAGCTCCTCATAAACAAATTAGTGTAAGAAAACATGCTATCTTTTCAACACATAGTCACAAGGATCACAGTGAGGATGAACATCAACGAGAAGAGGTGAGTGTAAACCAGAACTGGTATATACAAAATTGTGAAGTGATGACACCATAAGAGTACTCATAGATAAAACTAGTACAGGTTGGACCTTCCTGGTAAAGCATCCTCTGGACTGACCAGTCCTGAACAAGAGAATTTGCTGGATTTTTGGGGGGGGAGGAAGAGAAGGGGGAGTCCCCAGCTACCAGCACCCCAGCCTCTTCTGCCCCTCTCTCCTGCTGGCTCCTTTTCAGGACAGGCACCCTTGCCTCTAGCCCACCTGGGTGGCTGGCCAGGCCGGCCTCCTACTTCCAGCGTAGCCCAGCTCTCGTCCAACCCCAGTGCTGTGGGCTGGTTCCAGCGCCCTGGCTGGGGCTGCTGTGGATGCCCATCCCCACTGTTGGGGACTGGCTTCCAGTGCCCTAATTCAGATTGCTGCACAGCCAGGGGCCAGACCCTGCTGCCCTTGGGTTTTGTCTGGGTCTCTGTTCCAGGAACATACATGGTTCTGTTGCACCACAGATGTTGCCAGACCAAAGAGTCTCCATTTAGGGAGGTAGAATCTGTACTAATGTGTATGACTGTTATACAGGATCGAGGTAACAATATAAAAACACTAAGAAGTTTACCACTGTAGTTTTAGCTTCCCTCCATGATTTTCCATAGTCAGGTTTGTCTTTAGTTTGTATCTTCTCTGTCTCGATGTGTTCATGAGATGCTTCAAATATCCTAAATCTTCATGTTAAGTATGTTGAATTTCACGTATTTATAATTATTTTTTCTTTCACAAATTTCATAAATATCTTTTAACAGATTTTGCGGCTTTTCATGAATTTCTTACAGCTTTAGTGATTTTCAAAGACATTTTTGACATTGAAAAACATCTATATCTCTTCAGTGTGTCCCCATTTTTAATCTTTATGGTCATAAATTATGATGAAGTAAAGCAGATATATCACTAATTGCATTTCAGCTTCTATACTATGTACAGTATAGTTCCCTCTTCACACATTTTCCTATTTTTGCTTCCGTATGTCTCTCCAAAGCTATTCTCATCCATTTCCATTAATCCTCAGTGTTAATATTTCTCCCTTAACTCTCTGAAAAAGGACAGTGTATTTTATTGATAGAAAGTACTAAACGGAACAATGCAATATGGACTGTATAATCAATTTTAGGATTACATTTAAAATGAAAATACCAAACATGTGCAGCAAGGAGATGAGGAGAAATGATGGGATTCTTATTTCAGGGTTATGTTCTCTCTTCATGGCAGGCATTGTTTGTACTGCTGCTTTTCATAGATATTCCCATGTATTTTCAGTGATCTCAGTTAAATTCTGCTGAACATTGTAGGCTGTATATTCGTTATAGTTTTACAACCTGTTTTTTGCCCTGGTTTACTATATATCTATTTCTCAAATGTGATATGTTATTGGTCAACATTTGTCCGTTTGCTGTGCAAACCTTAATAATTCAACCCCCTTTTTTTTTGTTTTCTACAGCTGTATATTATTCAATGAAATCACTACTACATGTTTAATTTGTTGCATAAATTGCTTGCAGTGTTTAAATGTCACTCAGCTCCTGCGGTACTATGGTCTTGGAACCAACTCTCCAATATCTCCTGACTTGTTTACGTACATGTGCCCTGCGTTGCTATATCAGATTGACAGAAGACTTTGTATTGAGCATTATGATCATTTGCTGGTTGAGGACTTGAAGAAAGATAAAAGTGCAGCAGCTACAAATAAGGATAAAATAGGTGCATCAGGTAAGATAGTATAAGCTTTTAAAGAATTTTTTTGATTCTATGGTAATACAAATAAAATAGTGCCTATAAACCGCAGTCATAAACTAGGACCTCATTGTCCTAAGTGCTGTACAAACTCAGAAAAAAGACAAGTCTACATAGATAAATCAGTGGGTTTAGAAATTATTAATGTTTTGTTTCATTTTAATATTAATTCATATGTAAATTTCAGAGAAGAATGGTTGAGACAAGTTCTTTACTAATGCAGGGTGACCAAGCCAAACTGTAATGGACTCCCATTTCTAGCTCTCACCCCGTCTCCTCAGGTCTGTGCCCCGAGTTCTTCCAACAGGCCTGTCCTCCTTTCAATTATCTGATGTCTTGTTCTCCAGTTCAGTTCACATCAAACCTGCTGGGGTTTCCTCTTTTTCGGTGGTATTTGTTCAGTACTTGGGGCTTCCTTTTGTCATGCTAGGCTCTGTGGATTTGGATTGATTTGAGCCAGTTCTGTAACGACTCAGATAGTGAGGACACATCAGTGCACCAGTTGTCTTCTGTGGTGTTCCAATGTTAACACTTTTGTATCCACATCGTAGCAATGCAGAGGGAAACTGATACATGTTTTAGAGGGAGTACACATGCTACTGTTTTGCAAAAACAATGAGGAATCCTGTGACACCTTAAAGACTAACAAATGTATGTAGGCATAAACTTTTGTGGGCTGAAACCCACTTCATCAGATGCATACAGTGAAATATTCAGTTTGGCAGGGATATATACACACATGCAAAGATGGGAATGTTACATTCCTATTGCATGGCCAGTGCTAACAAGGCTAATTCAGTCAGCTGATAAGAAGGTGAGATTACCAAAGGGAGGGGAAAATACTTTTTGTAGCTAGCTAGCGATTCCCAGTCTCTAGTCAAACAGACAGTCTGGTTTGAAGAGTTGCCTAGAAGTCTCCAAATGCCACTGGCTATTATCTACAATTCCCAGGTAAAACCTTTGCAGCACATCATCAAGGATCTACAGTCTAACCTAGATAATAATCGGGAAGAGGTCAGTCCTCCCTTAGAGACAACCTGACAGAGATACACCAACTACACCTCACACAACAGAAGCACTGACCTAGGAACCAGTCCCCACAACAAACCCCATTACCAACTCTGTTCACATGCCTATCCTTGTGACACCATCATACCATCAGGGGCTTGTTCATCTACACATCTAATGTGATATTTGCCATCACGTGCCAGCAATGCTCCTCTGCCGTTTACATTAGCCAAACTGGACTATCTCTACGCAAAAGTATAAATGGAGACCAATCAGACATCAAGAATGGAAAAATTAAAAAAACAGTTGAGCACTTCAACCTCCCTGGACACTCACTAACAGACTTGAAAGTTAGCATATTTAAGCAAAACACCTTCAAAAACAGACTGTAGCATGAACAGTAGAGCTGGAGTTCATATGCACATTTCACACTAGGGTTAAATTGAGGTCATTTTAGTAATAGAGTGGTCAATAGAATTTGTATTGACTACTTGATAGGGGATGGCAGTCCCAACTCGCGCGGGGACCAAACCCCACTGCAGCTCTGCAATTTAAAAGGCAGTAGGAACCAGGCAGGCTT